TCCTGAGCTTGGGCGCAGCTACGCGCGTCATCACGTACACTTTGTGTGGGCGAACCGGTCATCTGGCGTGCGAACGACTCGTCAGGGCGGCGTGCACTCACAGTTAAGCTGGGCCCTAACAGGGCTTGATCAAGATGTCTTCTTGGGAATTCACTCGCCGCCTCTCTTTGAAAGCGCACTTTGAGGAATAACGTCTTCCTTTTCACAGTAGTATTTACTTCGTTTATAACCATGCTTTTGGCCTTTTCTCAACCATGCCGGGAGTTATTCCCTTATTCTTTTTGCTAGGCCCCAACTCAGGTTGAATTGTCTGCCTGTGTGGTTATAGGGAAAGTTACTCTCTCTCCCCCTCTCTATTTTTTGCTATGGGGGTGCGAGGTTGACGTCTCTCTGGTCATTTGACCAGATGAACGCACGCATTGCTCCATACTAAGTACGAGCAGGCTAACCAGTGACGGCTGAGCCGACAGCCAACCACCCCTCTCTTTTTATATAAACCACCGCCTTGCCGCGGGTCTGCGTAACGGAAGAAGAAGCAGAAACAGAATAGGGTTTGACCGTACACCGGCTCGTCGTGTAGACCGTTTTTTTTTAAATCTCCACTGTTGAGTGCACAAGCAGACACAGTCGTCGTTTTTTGAACTGCCTTTTGGGTCGTCTAGACCTAGAAGGAGAATCGTGAGGGGAGTTGTTTTTTTTAATATTGCATTAACGATCCACGGACAGAGATACAACCTCGCTTTATTAGCATCACCGCTGTTGGATGGCCAGCCACTGGGCACTTCAGTCATCGTTTCTTTAGCTGCCTTTTGGGCCGCGTATACGGACCACTTCACATACAGCCAATACTTTCGGTAAAAGGCACCGTATTTGCCGGACTTTGTGGCGCACTAAAATGCCTTTAATTTTCTCTAAAATGGACATTGTGCCTGGTAAAGGCTCTTTTGTACGCTAAAGTCAAGTCTCTAACTTAGAAAGACTACTAAGAAAGAAAGCTAACCCCCCATTTCCACCTAAAATGTGAATTTAATCGATAAAGGCGCTTTTTGATGCTATTTGAGAGTGTGTCTACATCGGTTTTTTCTGCGGCGATGACAAATATGTTATCAACGTAATGACCGCAAAATGTTAGCTTATTGTGCCTATGGTTTTGTTGCATTTTCTCTACCTTATCCTTCGCTAAGAGGGATCTAAGAGGTAGGGTCGTAGCGACGCCCTCTATTTGTCTGTACAATTGGTTGTCCAAGTTAATGTGCATTTTACTAATGGTTCCTTTGGTGCATCCGTCGGTATTCCAATTTCCGGCTGTGTCTGCAATAGGAATTCGCAGGTTGTATTGTCTAAGTGTGGCTATGAGAAGGTCGCTCTATCTCTTTTTGTTCTGGGGGTGCGAGGTTGACGCCTCTCTGTGCACTTGACCAGATGAACGCACGCATTGCTCTAAGTACAAACACAAGCAAGCTACCCAGTGATGGCTGAGCTGACAGCGAACCGCTCTACTTTTGTATATAAACCACCGCCTTGCCGTGGTTCTGCCTAACGGAAGAAGAAGCAGAAACAGAATAGGGTTGGACCGTACACCGGCTCGTCGTGCAGAACGCTTTTTTTTTAAATCTCCACTGTTGTCTGGCCGCACACTAGACATTCTAGTTATCCATTCCTCCGCCGCCTTTTGGGCCGCGTGGACCTAGATAGAAAAGAAAATGGGCAAGCATCGTGAGGGCCAGTTTTTTTGATGTTGCACGGATATAAATAACACCTCTTCTCCACCCAACACCTTCGGAAAAAAGGGTGAGTAGTCTTTGAGCACAGGGCCTGGTCAAAAGGGGGAAA